ACAACATATGACAAATAGTTCAAATTTTGGTGTTTTTCCTTGTGGGAAATTTATTTTTCTGGGTTGCATTCACCATTTTTTGCCTCAAATCATTTCATTTATTTATAATGAGCTTATTTAGCGGCCATAATGGACAAAACTGAAAATAGAATTAAATCAGACAAGTAGGTGTTTTGCTATTAGTGTCCAAAAGAGCTATTGCAAATAGCTAATAGGACTGATACCTACCAATTTATCATTTAAACTTATAGTTTTATCTAATAGCAGTCCTTAAAACCGCTCTATTGTAAATAAAGGATTAAATGATAAAAAAATAATAAATAAAGGAATTTATTGTGACAATTAAATTTCCGTTCCCAAAGTTAAACTTGCTCATGTAATAAAATATTTTAAGCAATTTTTTTATAATACATACCCACTGTAGTGTCTACTCTCTGGAGTTAATGTAATTGTTGGTTTATTGTATAAGCAGTTAAAGCCGCGTAGCGGAAGGCGAAGTTATTTAAACTTCAGTAGGACGGAAATTTAGTTAGTCATTCGCTCGCGAGTGCGACGCGCAAGTCATCTGAAAGCAACTGTCTCGAGATCTGTGCACTGGAAACACTCGCGTTGAGTATTTACATAAATAAATAAACAAACCTTATAACTAAATCGTAAAAGTTTTTCTAAATAATTTCTAAAACAAACAATATAAAAAATAAAATAAGAAAGACATAATTGCGAAAATGGATAGCGACACATTTCGTGAATTTGGAAAGGCTGCAGTGGATTTTATAGCGGATTACATGGATTCAATACGTGACTGGTATTAATATAGATTAAATAAAACTAAAAGGCAACCATGTATAATTAATTTTTGGTTTGCTTATATATAGCGATGTCTTATCTTCAGTCGCTCCTGGCTATTTGTTTGATTTGTTGCCCAAGGAAATTCCAGAAAAGCCAGAAGACTATAAAACAATTCTGAAGGACATACATGACGTTATAAAACCAGGAATAACACATTGGCAATCACCAAATATGCACGCTTTTTATCCAACAGCGTCAAGCTTTCCATCTATAGTCGGAGAAATGTTAAGCGCAGGCTTTGGAGTTATTGGCTTCAATTGGGTATGAAGTGTTTTAAGATTTTTCCAGAAATTCCAGAAAATCCAGAAATTCCTTGTTCTTCTCTACTTGAGTTAGTGTCTAAAGCAGTTTACTCATTAGTGTCTGTAATCATTTAAACAAATTGCTGATTTTATAATATTGACTATAAAATTTGCCGTGTTTTGCAAAGTGAAAGTATCTTATTATTTATTACGAAATGAAATCAATAGTTCACACTTTTTTCATATTTACTTTACATAAAAGCTGCAAATGTATCTTATATTTTCACATTAGTTTCTTGCTTTTGTAGCTGAACTAAAAAACAGCTATATAGTGTACTTTTAACCAACATTCCATAAAATATAATTGTGAATCCTTAGTCTAGCTAGTTAGTTAGTTGTGGCGTGGGAGGAACGACTCCTCCGCAATTAGTTAAGAAAGCAGTTTTAAATCCACAAATCCGCGTAATAGTGGGTAGTAGCGAAAAGGTTAAGCTAGAACCAGCCAGAGACAATTATAAAGGCAAGAATCTAGTCAATGCTAATACTAGAGATAACGCCGAATGTGTTGAAGGGGGCCCCCAGAAACTTAAGACTATCCTTAATCTAAGATAGTAAAAGAAACTAGTATGGCTACGACGTTCATTTACAATATTTTCCGAGATATACCTATAGTGTCAAGTGTAACTACGTGGAAAAAGAAATTTTTTATCAAAAAACGCATGAGCGATATCACAATAGTAACTTAAGTCTTGACTTAAGTGGATGCTTAAGACCATGTTTCCACTGCTTTCTCAGTAAATTACTTAAATAACTTCAAGATTTTGTCGTTTCTATTAACATAACTTGCATGTCAAAGAACTTTATTGTGTCAAAAAATTCTTTGAAAATTCTAAGATAGAAATATATAAATGATATATATATTTGATGAATATCTCAAATTTCGGTAATATTCACTGTGGGATATTTATTTTTAAGCGTTGCATTCGACATTTTTGGTCTAATTATCCTTACTTTATTTGTAAGTAAACTAAAAAGCACGGTAGCTCTTTGTATGGTTAATGAAATTTATTTAGTAAACTACACTTACTAAGTAAGCAGTGGAAACATACTATAACTCACCAATTCTTCTAACCTAATTTATACTTAAGACAATTTTGATGTATATAAAAAATATTTTCAAACCTTTTGAAGATTTTTGGAACCACGAAACCGTTTAAACTCAATCAAGAAAAATAACCGATTAAGCAACAAACTATACATTGTTTACTGGACAAAAAATTGATACATATATGAGTTAAAGCTATGTGATAGCCTAACTTATATATATTTTCTATGTTCAGATATTCCAAGTTCTTTAAACCAACTTTGTCATTGTTTCACGTAAAGGCAATGCAGAGTCAACACGCTGAGACTTTACTTCTCAGAGGTTCCAACTCAATTGCGAAGTCTTCTCTTTGAAAGAATCTTAAAAGCTCGAAATGATTATAAGGTTTTAAGTTCTATAGAGCAGCAAGTCAGCAAGCCTAAGTGAATTCTTATAATCACAGCATTAACGTGATGGCTGTGCATAGGGCTTATTATGTCTCCACCAAAACCAGATGGAAATTTTACCTGTAAGAATAGAAGCAGAAAATAAATGAGGTACTGGCTTTCAAAGAGCGGAACATTGCAAACATGATTGATCTTTTGTGTTGCCATCCGAGTCATATTGAACAGAAGACACTCAACCTTTCGCATAAATACCGCCAAAATGTCATATTCTTCTTAAACTTGGTTATATTTCAACTCATATTCTTAATCATTCAACTTACATTCTACATATGCCAGTAGAATGATATCGGTTATATCCCTTCCATCCTAACTAATTTTCTTTCTTACAGATCTGTAGTCCAGCTTGTACAGAACTAGAAGTAGTGGTAATGGATTACTTAGCAAAATTTCTGAACTTGCCTAAAGAGTTTATGCACTCTTCTGAAGGTCCTGGTGGCGGAATTATACAAGGTTCGGCAAGCGAAGCAGTGCTCGTAGCAGTAATTGCAGCACGCGACGAAGCTGTACGTCGCATTAAAGCAGAACGACCCGATATGAGTGAAAGCGATATACGTGGTAAACTTATAGCTTATTCCAGTGATCAAAGTAACAGTTGCGTAGAGAAAGCTGGTGTACTGGCCGCACTTCCCATAAAGCTCTTGCCCACTGATGATGATTTAATACTTCATGGCGAAACCCTACAAAAAGCTATAGAGGAAGATATTTCGAATGGTTTAATACCTGTAATATGCATAGCTACATTAGGTACAACTGGAACGTGCGCTTACGATGACATCGTTACATTGGGTCCAGTGTGCCAAAAATACAATGTCTGGCTACATGTTGATGCCGCTTATGCGGGTGCTACATTTGCACTGGATGAATATGCGCATTTACGTTTTGGTATGGAAATGGTTGATTCTTTTAATTTTAATATGCACAAAATGCTAATGATAAACTTCGATTGCACGGCTATGTGGCTTAGGGATGCAAATAGAGTCATAGATGTTTTTAGTGTTGACCGTATTTATCTAAAACATAAATATGAAGGTCAATCACAAATACCAGATTTCCGAAATTGGCAAATTCCATTGGGTAGAAGATTTCGAGCACTGAAAGTTTGGATTACATTACGTATTTATGGTGCAGAAGGATTAAGAACGCAGATTAGAAAGCATATTGAGTTGGCTAAAAGATTTGAGAGATTTGTAGTTGCTGATGAACGATTTGAAATAGTCTTTAAGAGTACATTGGGTCTGGTATGTTTCCGACCTAAAGGTGCTAATGAGATTACCACAAATCTTTTAGCGCGTATCACGGAACGTAAAAAAATTTACCTGATTCAAGCAAATCATAAGGCAAAACATTTCTTGCGTTTTGTTGTATGCGGCATGGATCCCAAAGAGCATGACATAGACTTTGCTTGGCAGGAAATACAACAGCAACTGTGCGAACTACTACAACCTGACTCGAAGCAGAGTGTGCCAGCAGCACTCGAAGATAATGTGAAAAATGAAAAGGAAGAAATAGTTTTTGGTAAATCAGAAATCGGAGCAATAACCCAACAGCTATCAAATGATTTACATATATCTGTAGGATGTGAAAAATCAAAATAAATTACTTTAGAAATTTAGTTATATATATTTATTTATTTAAGTTTATGATGTATATATATATATATATATAATATGTTTTTTTTACATTATCATTATTCTGAATGAATTTTTTTTAAATATATTATATCTATTTTTAAAACTTTTGTACAAATTAATTTTTTGGGTTTTTCTTTTTAATAATCTGTTCCGATACTTTAGATGCTATTCAAAATTTATATTTTGATTAAATATAACATCGTTAATAAATTAGAAACCTAATTCACTTTAAGGCGTCAATTTGTATTAAGATATCGTTAAAAGAGTCAAATATTTGAGATATGCAAACAACCAGCAGAGATGCCCATTAACGGATGAAAAATTTTCTATATGAATTGTAGAGCTACGCAACTATAAGTAGCTTTGGAGCAATTATATAATTGACTTCGGAAAAATAAAATTCCGCGCTTATTTTAACATGCACTTCATGTTTCCATTGCAACTCAAATGAGTTAGTTTATTGATAATGAGCTCATTTATGTGAAAAATTTGTATATGTTAAATCATTCCCGTCAGTGGCTATAATGAGCAAAATCGCTTAAATGAGACAGTGTGAATGTGCTATAGGTTAAAAAGCTGTACAAAGAGCTTAATGAATAAGGTTAATGAAATTTACTTAGC